TCATATTATGTTCAAAAAAGTTAAGTTTTAAAAGTTTTAAAGTTTTAAAAGTTTAGTTTTACTGTGTTCATTAAATGTTTATCCTGTTCGGCCCGCGACCTAAAGTGTGTTTTGGATTTTGGCCCCCTGTGCAATTGAGTTTGACACCCCTGTCCTAATGCTATCTTTTTTTTTTCAGCTTCCAAAAGTTATGGGGATCTCCTTCCATCTATGGTAAGCAACTAAATGACTCATTTCCAAAAATTCACAGGGATACATCCAACCATACTGACTTTAATAAAAGGACAGAAGTTGACATGGAACATATTTATAGAGGGTCACCTTTGAAAGTTATGGGCCAACTCATAAAATGTACTTCTCATTGACACAAGACATTCAAGCTTATCCAGCATACACAGCCATATAATCAAGGACATAAGAAACCATGTCTGAACCAGTTCATCAGATCAAAGGATTGGAAAGGTCTTAGAGGTCATCTAATCTAGCATTCCCCAAACTGATGCTTTTCAGATTTGCTGGGACTCCAGCTCACAAAATTCTCACCAGCATGACCCTATTGGGAGATAATTCTGGAAATTTTTGGCTGAACACATCTGGAAGGATTGAGAAAGATAATTCAGTTTAGTCCATAACTGATGGAAGAGGTAAATATCTAAGTTCTTAAATTCTTCTAATGAAGGAAATCACTAGGACTTTGGGATACATTCCAAGATGACAATACCTTTCTTAAATAGCATTTTCAGAATCACAAACATGAGTGTCAGGGCACAGTTACAAAAGGAGAAAAGACAGGTTCATGAATAGGGGTTTATCAATGGATCCTGGATTCACTTCTGAGTCATAAAGAACAATTTTACAGCCTTTTGTCTCAATTTCTAAAATAGTTGGACATCTTTCAGTACTTTAAGATCAGTGGACAGGTAAAACTGTTTGAGTATCAGACTTATTTAAAAATAAATAATAATTGGAGAGAGAAGCAATTCTCAAGGTTGTCAGTTCAAAATAAAGAGATGTGCCAGACTGAACATATACATTATTATTCAACTTAGCAGCATTGTAAGGAAAATGCCTTCCTTTCATGGTGGTCTGTGTGCCTGTGTATTATGTGTTGGCTCCTCTTCATTTCTACATTTGTATCTTGAGTCCTTATTTGCCATGTCCTATGTGGGAATGATTCTCTGTCTCTTCTCCCAAAATCAACACTTCTACCCTTTCAACCATTTATTTCCTACAGTAAATCAGAATTCTGTGTGGTTTGGTCTGATATCACTTAGAAGCCTTTCTGTGATTAGGAATTCTGGCTGATCAGAATTCCTAATGATTATTCCCACCACGTGAGTGTGAATTCCCTTGGAAGATGCTTCTGATTGGCCACTTGCCTCTCCCTTCTTAAAGGCTGTCACCAATATCAGTAGTTTTCTCACTCACAAGAACTACAGAGGTCATGCCATTTCATTCTATGGTAGAAAGGCAATTTTATTCACGATGTGCTACAGGAAGGTACCTGTCCCTCAAAAAGAGAATGCATCCCAGAATAAGCATAATAATATAAGCGCATTAGAAAAGAATGACACATGAAACAGCATTTGTTATGATATGATTGTGATGTTAATCTGTTATATAGCTAGGGATAGTAATGCCAAATAATGATGTTCCACTTGGTGCTGTGAAGGTAAGAGAAGTACCAGGCAAACCAAATTAAATAGCACCATATTTTGCTTTAATTTAGGCTTCTCCTTCGTCTGATCAAGCCACAGGTGACACAGAAATGCCATATACATCTGTGATACCAACTCCAGCTTTTGCTTCTAAGTCTCAGGTGCTCTCCATTATTCAACTTTGTCAATACTTTTCATTCTTCTTATATATTATAGTTGCATCCTTGTTTATCTTAAAGACAAATATATTTATTTGGTACTTCAGTAAGAAAGTAGCTTTGTTTTTTTAAAACAAAAACAAAGAACAAACAAAATACAGGATTATTGGTGAATTGTTCCTCACAAAGAAGCCTGGGAAACTTTCACCCAACCTACCCACATCCAATTCCAGCTCATAGTCTGGCAATGGGCCTCTCAAAAGTCGTACCTGTATATGGAATGCAAAATCAGTCTTCATTTTTCTGGGTCTACAAAACATTTACTGTTTGAAGGGCATATGAAACACCAAAAGGACAGCCTTCCTTTGATCACATGTAGATAAAATATTATGTGCCATTAAGTGCATCTATCTCTTGGATTTTCATAAAGTGGTGTCCGTGAGGCTCTTAAATCACAGTATTGTCCTGCTATTGGAATTTCCTAGCATTAGGCCAAAGGCAATGTTAATTGGAATTCACTATACCTTGCAAAATTGAATGTTCCCAACACCACATTTGTATTTCTTTCTTCTTCCCTTGGCCAGAGCAAAAAATAGGAAGCTGAGTAGAAAGGATGTTCACAATGCCCTTCCTTCCGCAGAAGTTCTAAAAAGCTCCCAGTGGAAGCTTCTTGGAAGTGAATCTCTGCGCCATCATTGGCTGGCATGTCTAGATTTCCTAGGGTGCTACTAATAAATTCTGTCAATTCCAGATATGCAGGTTATGTAAATTAAATGCACGTGTATCAGCGTTTGGCAGTTATGATCTTTCCATGTTCTCTTGCCCATCGTCTGAATCTCCAACATAGGGCCTCTGGGCACCATTTTGCCTTCAAATACCTCACTTAGTGCTTTATTTGGAATTGAGATCACCTACTCAGAAAAAAGGCAGAGTGAGGCTGAAGCTGAGGATGACCTGAAAGCAACCTCACCGGATTGTTTTCTGGTAGATGAGTCTTTCTGGCTGGCAATATCCACACCAATTTGGCAGCTATTTTAATTCACTTGAAAGACCTGAAGCCAGGAGATACTGTGAGGTAGACATTTTGCCAATGAGGAAATGGACTGCTCAAAAGCTTCATAGACCTGCAGCATTTCAATAACAGAAAACTACAGTAGTTTTACTGTGGTTTTAAGTTTGCTGTTGTTGAGGCAAAAATAAATGAGCTTGACCACTGCCAATGTCTTAGAGGTTAAAACTGTGAAAAAGCCTTGCACAGAGGCATTCTCAGAGAAAGAGGTCCCACTGGTGCTGGGGTTTGATCCCAAGTCACTCCCCTGAATGTGTACAAAATACAATGGCAGGGTAATCAGGAAGGGCTTTGAGTCATGACTTCTGAATGTACAATTGGAAGGGGATTCCCTATTCTGGAAGAACTGCACTGACCATCTAACACAGTGAAAACATAAAAACTTAAAGACTTGCAGAACATGTGTTTGGTTGGGTTTATGCAACCTACTAATTTGAAGTGTAGTTGCATAATTGATAGCATTATGTGTTGTATGAACCTAGCCAGTAGGATTTATAGCTCAACATGGTATGTAAACCCTAGGCACTTGACCTTAATTTGATCAATCATGGTTAAGGAAAAAGCATGTTGGCATACCATGAATATGCATATTTCCCCCCTCCTTTTCAAAGATCTTTGATTAATCTAGTAACTAATATGCTATATGTTAACTTTCCAGGTTCCTGAAAACACAGAAAGGGTTGATTATGCTTCCTTAAGATTTTCTGCCTTAAATGACCAAGCTGTCTATGCTAATGTGTGAAAAGAAGACAATCAAGCCACTCCTGAGAACTTATTACTGTGAACTAAAGAAGAAGAATTTAGAACTTCTCCATCAGAGACCTTCCTCCTATTCTAGCTCCTCAAATAGAAGACTACAACCCTTTGTCATCACTCACATTACTGCAGACATGCAATAAAATAAAGCCCATTCTTGTGACCTAAGTGGAATGGCACTGCCCAGAGCCATGTTCAGTGACTTCTGTGTTAAACCAAAATGTCTCAGAACTCTCCTCCTGGGGCATTAGACTACAGCTCCCATCATTCCCCAGCCAAGCCACCCATTGATTTGTGTAATGTGCTTTGTAGTTCAATACTTTAAAATTCCCCAGAGTTGCTCCTTCCTTCTTCATTTCATTTCAGCTGACCGGGGACTATTTAGTTCCTTCCAACCAAGGGGGTATGCCCTGCAGTGTAAAACTTCTTGTGCACAAAAAGCTGTAAAAGTGGTTAGTGTGAAGCTATGCCTTTTGGCCCATGAGGCTTCAAGGTCCCTCCCCCAGTCCTGCCCACCTCCATTCTCTCACTGGGGGGTGCCTGAAGGTGGCAATCCCTGAAGGAAATTCCCATCCCTTTCCCAAACAGAAAGGGACTGGCTCTTGGGAATAGGCACTGGAAGGCATTCCCATGGCAAGAAGACAAGAGTGGTTTGGTGATCATAAAGAGGAGAGGGAATGAAATGTCCCTGAGAAGAAATAATCCAAAGACTTTAGGAGGTGCAGCCTGAAACCAGGATGAGAAGGCTGGTCATGTGAGTGTGTGAGATCTTACAGCTTTCTGAAGAACAGCTAGAATCTGGCTTTTCCAGAAGGCCTTTAGCATTTAGCAGCTAGAGCAGTGTTTGTCAGCCTCAGCAGCTTTAAGATGTGTGGACTTCAACTCGCAGGACTCCCCAACCAGCTGAAATGAAAAGATGAACCAAATACTGGTGGCCTCACAACAGAACCAACAGAGGAAATCTGTTGCTTTTATTTCCTTCTGCTACAGGTGATGAAAAAAACTAAGCAAGAATTGTTACCTGCTAAGGTATACAGGGACTAATTTTTACCCACAGAAGCACTGAGGTACTTTGCTGGATTTAAACAGCCCTTATGCTTGAATGAATTCTGAGGCTATTGGCAAGATTGTCTTAAGGAAGGAGCAACTCAGGGGAATTTCAAAGTGTTGAACTACAAAGCACATCACACAAACCAATGGGTGGCTTGGCTGGGGAATCCTGGGAGCTGAAGTCCACACATTTGAAAGTTGCTGAGGTTGACAAACAGTGAGCTACAGGATGATCTGTGTCATTATTGTTTGTCATAACTTACAGTTTTGTTGTTATTATTTTACTGTTCTTTGTACTGTCTTAGCCTTGGTAAACAGCCTAGAGCTTTTGGAGTGAGGCAGTTTATAAATCTTATAAATAAGTAAGCAAGATCTGGATGCCAAGAGAAGACCAAGAGCAGGACAAGGAAAAGGGCAAAACCTCTATTGAACAACAATCAGCCTGGTCTGCCCAATCTGAAGCCTTCCCAATGAAATGGGACTACAGTGCCCAGAATGTTCAGCCAGGTACTTCCCCTTGCAAAGGGATTACATGAGAGGTGTTACTTCATGTTTCCATGTTCCTCTGTGCAGCATGTTGCATTTTCAAGAGGACTGATTCATAATCCTAAACTAAGTATCACTCAGCTGGTAAATAATGTACAGCTACAATAAATATCAGGGCAGGGTTCCCGATCTGTGATCCACAATTCTGTTAAAAGAGCCAGATTCATATGCCAGGGGAAGGCTTTTAAGGCTGTATTTCCTAAACATCAATCAATAGGATTAATTTTCAGAAATACTGAGGGTATTTATACCCGTAGGAGAGGAGTTATTCTCCAGAAGAGATGAGAACCTCAGCCCTAGTCACTGATAACCCTAATAATTTGGCCCAGATCCATGCTCTCAGCAAGGCTAATGGTAGTACCAAAAGTGATGTGGACTTAGCCACCCACATAGTTCCTCTGAACAGAAATGGTGACTGGACAGATATCAAGCATGAGTTATAGTAAGCAGAATAACTGTGCTCTTTGCACCTTCTTCTGCTGGAATAGCAAAGGATTCACGGAATCCTGAATGATCTGGCTCCAGGTATTGCCTTGCCTAAGACCCATGCTGAGTTTCTGCCTCTTGAATAATTGTCACCCATGGAGACTGTCTATTCCCAGACGTTGTATGTTGAGTAGCTGGAAAACAAAGCCAGCCTGTGGGTAAAGTCTGAACATGGCAGTGACTCATACGCACTCCCAGCTTCTGATGCAAATCAGACATTGTCCTCTTTCTGTTTTGGAACTTTTCCTCCCTGCAGAATACTGTCATTCTATAACCCCTGACCCCGACTACCTAGCAGAGCTGGGGGTTGTGCTACGCTGGGGAGCCAAAATCTCGGGATGGAATTTTTTCTCTGCAGATATTCACCCCAGCAAGCCGATTAGAGGTTGCTATTAGCAGCGTCAATTCTCAAAGGCACAGCTCAGCCTTGTGAAGGGAAGTTAGCAGCCAACCCACTTCCTTCTCAACAGATCTTTTGCCCCCTCCAGACTGTTTAGTTCCTTTTTTTTATTACAGGTGCTGAGCAGGCTGAGGTCCTTTCTGGTTTGTTGCCAGGTCACCATTACTGGATGATTCAATTCACCCCCATTAAGCTTCCTTGTGTCTACGGAGATGGGAAGCAGCAGCAGCAGCAGATCTCCAGCGGCTTCCTTCCACTTTAAGGCTTGGGAGATGTCCCACCGCGTGACATTGTTGTGGGCTGACCGCCAGCAGCAGAAACATTCCAGCTGCTTGCCCTTACTGGAAAGGTTAAAACAGCAGAACCTCATGGCCTTCATTTCTCAGATTCAACAAGAGCTCTGAAAAAGGTCTTTTCAAGCCCCAGCTAATGCAAAACCATTTTCTCTAAAGTTTCTCTAGCTAGCAATAAGTTTTCCTTCCACTTTTTCATTCAAGTCATTAATCAAAGTCTAGAAGAGTACCAGACCCTTGTGCAATATCCCACCAGATGCCTGTCTCCATGTGAGCACTGGATGGAGACACTGAAGGTCAAACACACATAGACATTCAGACAACCGGGGATAGCCTTCAAAGCCTGGGCAAGCCTTCCACTCTCATTAACTCTTTGCAAAGCACCTCTTTTGAATGCTTTGCACAGCTTTACTCATCACCACTTTCCAAATGAATGCTGTTTGAATCATAGAATTGTAGAGTTGGAAGGGATGTAACGGGCAATCAAGTTCAACCTCCTGCTTTGCACACTTTTGGGATGCAATCCTCAGTTCAAAAACTGAAGTTAACGGTGCATGTATTGGAGAAAGTTTCATACACAAATACACAGAGAAGGGAAAGGTGCATACAAAAATTAGTGCAGCTTTAATTGCAAATAGGCCAAAACTGGGCTGAATTGACTTAATGATCAAATATTTATGACACTGACTTGTATTACTATATTAGAACTGGGCAGGGTTCCAGATTTAAAGAGTAAAATGTGATTCAGAGTGCACGTGGCCATGTCTATAGCACCTCTGAGGAACATCTTGAATCAAACATTTCTTTTCCTGAGATTGTGTGGCAGGTGTGGAGGGCAGCTGCCTCGCTCTTGGGAAAACTGGGGTGGGTGGCTTTCAAGGGTCTCCGACAGGCCTTACTGCATGCCCACCCACATTCTGAATCATATGTTACCCTTTGATTCCAAATATTTGCACAGCCTGGTAGGAAATGGACTGGTTGGATATTCCTATTACAAACCAAGCGCTCACAGGATATCTTTCCTTAAAATTGGAGCCAGGGAGGTGCCTGGTTGTTGAAACTGCTGTCTGTCTGTCTGTCTGTCTGTCTTAAAAGGGATCAGTGTGTTTTGTCATGCATATTGTTATACTGTACGTCTGTCATTCCATTTTTCACTGTACAATTCCTCTGCCTTCAAAATGGCCGGGAGACCTGTGCATCCTGTAATCTTAGACTTGGTTACCTCCAGGCAGCACTGATTCTGTTTTAGCCAGTTGTTTGATCGTATCATACAGGATGGCTCTCTGGTGAAAGAAAGACCTTCAGCCTTGAACTGTTTGTTATACATTATTGATTCTATCAAGCTTTTCCAATATGACTTTACGCTTTCTTTGCAGAGTATTCACTCATCTGCCTCTTCCTTTGGGGATCTATAGGAAGGCTAATTTGCAATATTATGGAGGCCTTCCCCCATCTTCCACTGGGCTGATGTTAGTTATTAGTTAGTTAGTTATTAATCTATCTGGCATATCTGTGAGGAAGTACTGTTAAGCTCAGAACAACTGAGAAAATGCAAGAGAAGCAACTGATTCAACCTAAGGCTTTTACAGTCACTCTACCCCAGTGTTTCTCAATCTTAGCAGCTTGAAGATGTGTGGACTTCACCTACATTCTGGGAGCTGAAGTTCACACATCTTCAAGTTGCCAAGGTTGAGAAATGGTGCTCTCCTCAGTCAGAAGAAGCACTTGGGGCTCCCTGATTCTATGATAGGGTCACTTGAATGCCAGAGTGAAACAGAACTTAAAATAAGCCCACAGGCTCATTGTTCAAAAAATCTGGCTCAGTGTAGCCTGATACTGTTCATCTTCCTGTATAAAATGATAATATCCCTGATCAGGATTTATATTCTCATTGAAATGTTCTAGAATTAGCCCTCAAATTGGATAGGGTAATGGGAGGATGGGGGAAGGAAAGACTGGACTGTCTGTTAACTCAGATCTGGCCATGTTTCGTTACAACGATTCTTTTATTTTTGTGCAGTTTTATGCTGGGGGGGGGGTTTCTAATCCTGAAGGATGATTGTATTCAGTTTATGCTAACTATTCCTGCAGTTTTTTTTTTTTCATATTTGCTCATATTTGCTTCTTTCTGTACTATGTAATAAAATATTTCACAGCAATCATACTCTCTTTAAACTTGTCTAAACAACTCAAGGCTAGATTTGTACTGCTAACCAAGTTTTCCAGTTTAACTAGATTATACATAGATCAAATTTATTTAACATCTGATCATAGATTGCACAGACCCTCCGTATTCTTAGGGTACCTCCACAAGAAACCCTTGCAATAATTTAGAAATAATGTTAGACATATGCAATGCCCAAGCATTAGCTCTGCTTGAAAGTCAGGTCATT